TTATTATTGGTAATAAATTATTTTTATTATTATTATTATATTGTTATTTTATTTTATAACTATTTTTATATTATCACTAGAATAATTTTAGAATATTCATTAATATTTTTTATAATCAGCAAAACAGCAGCATGGAACAGTCGTTCAGCAGCTTTTCTAGCAACAGCAGCAGCAGCAGCAGCAGCAGCAGCGTGCAGCAGCAGCAGCAGCAGACTGTTGCTGCTGCTGCAACTCCCGGGCTTACTGCTCCGCCTGGATGGGACATGACTAACCAAGTAAGCATGACTAATATTTAGGACCAGAACTTGGGCTTCTCCCATCAAACATTCAAACGTGCCAAAAATATTATTAATTTTATCAAATGGATATATGCATTTGCTTCGATATACGTAGATAACTTCTTCTTAAATTCTAAATCCTTCGAGCAATTGTTCAATAAAAACAGTTTGCGTTGTGATAGGTAGCGGATTGTTAATTAAATCACGCAAGGTTTAATCAGCGAAAAATCTATAAAATTCTATTCTAAGAACAAACTCGAGGCGAAATTTTTTAAAATTCACAGATTAATATAATTTTCACGACCTATGTTATTTGATGGAAACGTCGTCTTTTTGGTGACTCGCGTTCACCAAAAATTGTTTTCTCTCCTTCTTGCTATGATCGAAAACTGCAGCAAAGCAAGCACGACTGGAGTAACCGAATTTTGATAATTTTTTAGATATTTATATTTTCCTTTGTTAATTTTATTTGTGATTTTTCATAAATTTTTTATTTTTTCGTGTTTTTTCATATATTTTTTATTAATACAAATTGACAGCCTTTTCAGAAATTCAAGATGTTTAATGTCAAGGTTAAGGTGGTATGAATATTTGAACTTCACTTAATGTGAGTCTGCGGCTCAATGTCGTGCTTGTCAAACCGATGTAATTTACATTTTGGAGAAGTCTACAACCTACTTTCAAACAGGAAAATTTGTAAACGACATTGGTTTCTTGTAGCGGTCCGGACTTTTTACATGGATTGTTTTTTTTGCTTTTTTTTTGTTTTTCATGATCAAATTCTTGATCTTTTTGTTTCTGTAATAAATCAAAAGTTTTATTCGGTCAGTTACTGTTGTGCAGCTGATGTCATTTTGCACAATTGAATTGAGGACTCGTTCGTCAGTCCCATGACCGCTGTTCATTTGATTTTTATAGTAGATTCTGGTGACGCAATCTCTTGATGTGGATTCATCTGTTCGGTTTTGACGTACTCTGATATTTGAAATTTCTTTGTCAATCGTTTTGTTTGCATACCCGTTGTTGACAAGAATTGTTGACAAGAATCATGTCTAAATTTCAATTCTAAGCGTTGTAATAATTCTTCACTTGCTTGATAATGAATATTGATATATTCGAAATGTCGCACTGCAATAAAATGTCATTTGGTAATCTGCTTTTTGATCTCCAAGCTCCAACTAGAAATTTCGTTCGGCTTATCGAAAAAACAATAAGAAAATCGTAAATAAAAAGTACGCTCTGGTCTTCAACCAAACCTGTATAAATGAAGAACTTCTGCCTAACTACACTAATATATTATAAATGGCCCATTTTTCGTGAATAGAATGATTAACATTATGTTTGATACATAAACATATAAAAAATATGACAGTACCTAATTTTTATTTTGTTTTTTGGGTAAGATATTTTATACAAGATCTTTCTTTTTATTTTCGCTACTGTCTCAAAAATTTCGTCGTTTTTATGACTAGCTGAAAACTTTTCTCCATCTAATAATCTTCAAATTTTACGCTAAAGAATCACTCAGCGATGTTTAGATAGACGCTATAAAATTTACTGCAGACCTCGTCTAATAATTCCATTTCTGCAAAATAATCAGGATTATAATGTTTAGATCGTGTTCTTAATGTTTCAGGAACAACTAATAAATTCGGCGATATTTGTTAATTGCGGTGCAAACAATACCAATTCGTATACATTATTATTATTATTTAATTAGTCGCTTTCTTCTCATCGACTAATACTTTCTGAAACAATGCAAATGCTAAGATGATCAATATCTCAAGATGCTTGAAGTTTTAATCGGAAAATGCAATGACAAAACAAACATAATTAACGACAATAATGTAAATATATGATATCTAAAGGAAAATAATTTTTAATATTACAGATCCTATCCTATCCTATATTAGGCATCCTTTTGAAATAAGATATATATTAAAAAATATTAGGAGCACCTTTTGGAAATAATCAGAAGCTCTTAGAATCTGTAGTTGGAATAGAGAAAAAGGAATTTGTAAATAAAATAATGCAAGAATGAGATTAAATATTGCCTTCAATTAACTTGGTCTAATCTCGTGAATCGAAAAATTAGTTCCCTTCCTTAGGTTTCTTTAAAAAATATGAATTTTAGTGTAAATGAAAAAGACAAAAAATACCCGAAAGAGTGGCAAAAATAAAAAATCTCGAAATAATGATGCATGTTAAAATTTTTCTAGATATTGGACTCGGTGAATTCGTTGTGAAAAGGCAACGAATATTGGATAATGATGAATGTGACAACTATTTTATGATTTTTCTGATATAAGACTCACTAAATTCATTGTAAAAACGTAACCAATATTGGCAACAGATGAGCAGCAGCAGCAGCTATAGCAGCACCTCAATCATTGGCCAATCAGGGCCCGCTTGGCTGGAAGGCCCAAAGCCAGTCCCTGTGAGTAATTGGCCCAATCATGCATAATTGGCCCCAGCATGCCACGTCATTCTGACGTCAGCCTTCAGTAATTGGCCCCTGCATGCCACGTCATTCTGACGTCAGCGTTTAATAATTGGTCCCAGCATGCCACGTCATTCTGATGTCAGCCCTCACTAATTGGCCCCTGCATGCCACGTCATTCTGACGTCAGCGTTCAATAATTGGTCCCAGCATGCCACGTCATTCTGATATCAGCCCTCACTAATTGGCCCCACTGCGGCATACAAATAAATTAATTGTTCTGAATCATATCCCGCAGGATCCTTTGTTGCAGTCAACAATTTAATTGGTCTTAATGCCAAAAATTTAATTGGTTTGAATCCAAAAGCTTCCAGAAAACTTAATATCGGGAAATTTAGCACGCTTTCTAATGAAGTTTTTCTAGATATAATAATTTTGCTGGAACCAATAATTTTTTGAACGGAATAGAATATAAAAATTTCGTAATATTAAACAAGTTCATTGAATTTCGATACTCACTTCATTTAAATCGTCATAAACATGTGCGCAATATGGATAATCGAGACCATAATGAAATTTCGTACAAATATAATTCATGTCAAATGAAATTCAAATCTTTTTATTCAGCAAACTATTTTGAATTCGTTCATTGTTCGTTCGTTTTCTCAGTTTGTTCGCCCATCACTATATTTTTATTTCATTCTCTTATTAAGCCTTCTTTCTCTTCATTTCTCTTCATTTCATCCTCTCATTCTGTTCTCTTTTTACCGAGAAAGAGGCCTTTCTAACCTATAATTTTTACCATTTATCAGGTAAGTTAAAATTGTTTTTTTTTTTTGAGTAACGGTTCAGGGTTTTTCGTGTTTTATTGTGTGCTTTTTTCACCTGTTTGTTTTCTAAAATTAATTTGTAGTTAATACAAGAAAAATTCCGACGTTACTTGTTATTTTCTCTAATTGTAAGCTTTCTCGGACAATCAAATCGAATATTCGACGCTCATTGCCATAAGTACCTATTGGCCTCAGCCATTTCACTTCTTTTTACTCAGCACCAATTCTACTTTACTGAAAGTAATTGTTCACTGAAAATTTCCACAAATTCCTGCAAAAATTCACTAGTTCACAATATGCTGTTTTTATTTCCTGAGCACAAGCATGTAAAATTTTTATTGGATATAAGAAATATTATTTAGGTACATTGACATTTAATTTTTTATTACGAGAACACAAGTATAAAAATTTGTTATTGGATATCCTTTGTTGAAGAAATATCCTTTGGGTAAATTGACATTTTATTAGATTAAGAACGACATTTTTTCTTATGAATGTTACGGAACAAATAATATTATTTCTGCACTGAATGAGGTAGTGTTAATAAAGAAGTTTTAATGAATTTTATTCATTTTATTAACACATAAATGTAACCGATGAAACTTCAGCCATTATTTCTATTTTCTGGGTTATGAATTACTCAAATAAAGAATAAAAAATTCGTTTCACTTCTCGGACCCAATTCTAAGACAGTCAATTTTTAATGAGCAAATGTAACTGTTAAGCTCCGACGAATTCTTTCACTTATCGGACACACTATCTGCATTCCGATCCTCAAAATTCATACCTACCAACTGCAATGAATATTTTCACTTTATTCATTTACAGCTTCGTGAGTTGAAACTCCATTAAATCCTTATCCATGTTCATAAATACAATTATCACTATTGAAGGTCTAACGAACTTGCTAATTAAATTATGCACTAATTCACCAGCCACCATGTTTTCCGAAAAACGTTTCTAAAATTTTCGTACTGACAATGGAGCTGGAAACTTTTTCTTTAAAGATATTGCGAATTTGTGTGGCATTTTCTTCACTTTTAAACTCATATTCAATTTTTGATTCAAGCCATTGAATGACATTGACCATGTTTTCCGAATGACGTTTCTAAAATTTTCGTACTGACAATGGAGCTGGAAACTTTTTTTATAAGATATTGTGAATTAGTGTGTCATTTTCTTCACTTTTAAACTGATATTCAATTTTTGATTCAAGCCATTGAGTGACATTGACACTTTATAATTGTTTATTTTAGTTTCCGATAAATTATTTATCTCTGATATTTTCAGGTTACTGCCCCCCTGCCCACTGCCGGCGGTGGGGCGAGCCTGCCTAACCCGCCATCACTGTTCGCGCGGCCTGCAGCTAATGGTGAGAATAATATACTTTATTATAATATTTATATTATTTATTTAATTTAATAATATTTATTTTTATTCACTGCAATAATTCATATTTAAAATACTTCAGTGTAAAACTTCACGACAATAGAACAATGCAATACTTCATACTTAGAGTTCTATAGTGTAATAGCTCACTGTAATACTTCAGTGCAATAATTCACTGTAACACTTCACTAGTAACCGGTTGATAAAATAATGTCAAAATTGTACAGTTAAAACATGAAACTGAATTCACTAGATTACTGCGTAATTGCAAGAGTTAGATTGATTGTTCAAAAATATTTTAGAATATATTGAATCGATTCTGAGAATTTAAACAAATATTTATTCAGATAAAATACGAATTTGTATCAAACAAATGTTATTTCTTGACGCCAAGCTTCACATTAATTTTTTTGTCTTCTTCAATGCTTTAGCTTTGGGTTAAGGTATGAATTTTTCACACAAATTCCAGATAATCGCTTAACTCTGTAAAGAGTATGGATTATATATAAAATTATATATATAATTATTATATATACAAATTTAATTTTATATATAATATACGTAATTTTAGGATGATGTGCGGAACAGAGGCCGACTTATAGTTTTAAAACATTGTAATATCAGGTAATATTAAACACATGATTAGAGTTGAAAAAACTCCATGTTTGCTCTGAATACGTTAAATTATTCATTCATTAATTGTGTGAAGTTTGTGGTTCATTTTAGCACAATATTTTGATTTATTATAATTGGATTACGTCTTAATTATTCATTAATTATCCAAATGAATCATATATATCATGATTTAAATCTGTTATCCACTGGATTTCAGGTACGAAAGTAAGTTTCCTCATGCCAGGTCCAACCCAAAAACATTTATTAACGTAATAAATATTTTCATTCAATTAAATCAAAAACATTTATTAATGTAATAAATATTTTCATTCAATTAAATCAACTCACTTCAAGATTATCCGCTGAAGCTTTCACTTATTAGATTTTCAACCCAATAGACTAAAGCCAATATCAGATTTTGTGCGAATTCTTTTTATCAAGGTTTTCTCATGAAAATATATAAGATAAAAAAATCTGCGAAAATATTTGTGTTGACATATCCTTATTAACTTAATTAACATGACCGGATTATGTAATTGAAAAACTATCTTCTGTAATCTTGTGGAATGTGCCCATGATTCGTAATCTCTATTATGTAAATCACTATAAAGATCGCTCAGGTGATCTTTAATTTAATAATTAATGAACAGTCAAATAAGTGAACGCGATCAAATTCATGAAAGTCTTACGAATAAAACCACAGGACATTTTTTTCAAAGAGTCATTCGTGTGCTGCAGGATTTGGGCTTTGAACTCCTCAAAATGAAAAAAATTTTCTTTATAAAAACGTAATTTTCCAATAGTGAAATCATTAAAGACTAGCACCCATTAGAACGAACCCTTGATTTGGCTTTTTGAAATTCAATTTTCCCTTCTGCTGGTAGAAAAGCCCTCCAGAAACGGATGAGGGAAAATTCAAGTTGAACCATCCTCAGAATATTTTTGTCATTTTCCTCCATAGTTAATAGACTCATTTTTGTGGTTTATGTGTATCATTCATTTGTGGCGATCTGTTAATCATTATGCCCTCTATTCCTCTCCTTTGTTTTCAGGCCCTGCAACTCTCCCCGAAATCTCCACAATCTTGACCACCTCTAATCCTACTAAATCATTTAAAGCTGGCGGTATAAACATCACTCCTGTCCTCAAATTGAACCCTCATTTCTCATCAAAACCTCAGCCCGCGAAGTCCCCCCGATCTTCATCAGTCGGGCATAAAGTGCCGGAAAAACGACTTTCCACCATCCCTAAAGCGGCACAATATCCTTTCCCTTCCTACCTGAGTCTTGCATCCCAACAAGGTGGATGTGTTCGATCATCATCCACTTCATCCATCCCTAGATTAGCAGCATCCTCTGCTTCCAATTCCTACGATGACTTTGATCTTAAGCCTGGGAGTCCACCAGTTGTGTGTCGACCAAGTCAGAGCCAAGAACGTAGTTCTCTTGAGAACGATAGTGCTGCGGACCAGGTTCAGAACAACATCTACAAGGATGTAAAGCTGAGGAAAATTCAGTCGTCTTCCACCTCGAGCTCCTCAAACAGAGGTAATGGCATTTCAGCAAACATTGTTTCTGCAACTGGAACTGCTCCTAACGCTTCTTCTTCTTTTCCGTTACGCGGCAACGCTTCATCATGTTATTTTACTGCTAACAATGCAATGACAGAGGAAACTTTTGGTAACAAGTTTTCAAAAGACGGTAATAACTCAAATAAGCAGCCGTCAGATTGGTACAACTTTGAAAAACCCGAATTCCTTTCAACTCATGAACACCGATCTCTCTTCAACAAAGCCGCTTCTTCTGAACTAAAGCCAGTAACCAATTTACTAACTACATCAAAATCTAGTGCTTTCAAAAAATTTCAGCAAGATTCTCCGATCAATCACACTTCAGGGAATGATGACATAAATTCTCAAAAGAAAGCATTTCAGTATCATTGTATGAATAATAAATCTAAATCTTTTCCTGATTACGAAAGTCCCAATGCCTATGCCGTAAGGTATGCTCAAGTGCAAAAAGTACCAACGCATCCTCCTGTTCCAAATTTCGCTTCAACTTACTTGGTTTCCCCGAAAATAGATCCGAAGGTCCACGCCTTCGACTTTGATTGCGGAGTTCGCATTAAGTTGGATGGAGAGAATGAAGAACTTGATGTTGATGAATACGTTGCTGAGATACAAAGGTCTTTCACGGCCACACCAGTCGCGTTGGAGAGCATTAATGTAGAAGACCTACAGCCCCCTGAGTTCTACCGTAGCGTATCTCGTAACGATGACCGAGATGACTATGACACCATGTCCGATCTGGAAGGTCCTTTTGAAGAGCATGGAGTGGTAGTAGCTAGCATTTATGAGAAGCGACCTCCAGCTCAACAGTGCACGGTGTCAAAATCAAAACTCATGAATAGAGATTCGGCATGTCCCTCAAATTTATCTCTGAAACAGAAAGCAGTAACAAATCTTGAAATCTTGTCCACATTTTCAGCTCTCAGCAAAGTTAGCACTAATAAAGAAGGTAAAACTGATGTGAACTTTTTCCCGCATCCAGTGACCGCTGACGAGCAAATGCATCAAGTAAGTACTTCGATGTCTAAGGCCGACTGCACGTCTGTACAAATAAAGAGCTTTTCACTTGATGCACCAGTAGGAAGCACTCCTCCTTATCATCCGCCTATCAGCGCAAATAATTCTTCTTTAGCGACGCATCCCGGCCTCGAAAAAGATACCGCCTTCTTGAATGTTCAATCTAAAACATCGTCGTCAAGTTTGATTTCCACGCTAGAAGGCACTCATCTCCCTTCATATTCCAAACAGGAAACGTCGTTTGAAAGCGTCACAGAAAATTTACAGGAATTTTCCTCTAGGGATATCACCCTTCAGGTAGAAAAAGCACAGGCAACTCCTAATGGATTGGCCAAAAACTCTACAATGATCAATGGGCCTATCACCACGTCAGCCAATGATCTACAGACGGTGTCTGGAAGAAATTCTGAAGAGAAGTACAAAAGCGCTAGAAAAAATGATGAAAATAATGACTTCATAGGAGAAGGCCCTAATTATCACGACCAATATTACGACCAAGATGTTTCAGAATCTAAAATTTTGGACAGTAAGCCAACCTCCGAAAAGCTAGAAGATGTTGAATTCCAGCAACCTCCAACCACCGGGGAGATTGGGAATGATATTAAAGAATGTCCAGGGAACAATGCTTCGAGCGAAGATCCAGAACACAGCGTGGAGAACGCCCTACGCAATGACAATAACACCGAAGATTCAGTTCACTCACTGGAAGCCTCTCAGTCCACTGATCCAGTTGAACCCTCTAGCAGTTCGGTTCCATCGGCCCCCTTCCTTCTCAGGAATGATACCGAGTTTTGTAGTGAAGTTCCTGAACCTGTCGTAGCGACGCCTGTATCAACATCTCCTTTCATGTCAGCATTACCACCCAATGCATCAAACGAATCACCACTAGATGCATCAAACGAATCACCTCTAGATGCATCAAACGAATCACATCTAGCTGCATCAAATGAGTCATCACTAGATGCATCTAACGAGTTATCTTTCAAATTTGCCAGATCCACTTCATCTGGCATCAACCATCTAGCGCCTGATGTAGTTCTCCTCAAAGACACTAAAGAACCTGCTGCTTCTAAAGCTTTCCCAACAGCTATAAACTATTCTGTTGCTGCTGCTGCTGCTGTTACTGCTGCTTTTACTGAAATTCCAGCTGTTTCGGCTTGGGATTCAGACTCTTTTGGTCCTGACACTGACCCAAAGTCGGAAATTCCTGCCTTGGCTGATATTACTGCTTCTACTAGTGGTTCTGCTGCTTTTGCTGCTGCTGATGTTATTGCTTCTGACGCTGTATCTATTGCTGCTTCAGATATTATTCCTGTTTCATCCACTAATCAAGTTGAACCTGCTGTTTCCCTGATACCTTGCCCCTGCCCCTCCCCTACAGAGAGCAAGCCCCTCGCCCCCGGTTTGGTCTATACCGCAGAGGTAAAGCTCGAGCAACCCCCGAAAAGCTCTATCATCATGCAGAGTGGTCAGTATTTCTAGGTCTAGCAGTAGATAATTAGAGAGTGAACGGCGTTCATTCATAGAGTTAAATTCAAAACTTGAAATAAAACTTTCTGTAATTTAAGGTTTCCAGTTCATAACTTTTTCTAGTTCTGTATGTACAGGAGATAAGCTTCAGAAGCAAGAAATTTAATTTCCTTTTAACGTTTTTTGTGCATCATTACACTTAAGATTTTCTTAAAAAATTGTAGAAAAAATTCATTAGATCGAAGGAAAGCGAAGCTATTAATGGTTGAAAAGTAAATAGCGCTACAGCTGACAACGTTGCATGATGTTAATTGCCTATTCATATTTATATATAGAAACTAATAGATGAAATTAGTTCAACCTGAAATAACTATATGACCAAACTTTTAGAATCCATATTGCCTTTACAATTTTCAGAGCTTTTGAAAATTTATTATTTATTTGCTTCCTTGTACGTCGCATTTATTTAAACCCCTGCCAGTATGACATCTGCTATTTAGCCCATTTTCAAGTTAATAATCTCTTATAATTTAAATAATTTATTGCTATAATGATTCCCAAATAATTTATTGCTATAACGATTCCCAAATAATTTATTGCTATAATGATTCCCAAATAATTTATTGCTGGAATGATTCCCAGATGATTCATTGCTGGAATGATTCCATGCAGCACGTTTGCCTCATTTCACTTCACCTTATCACTGATATAATATCTCCATACATCGATGACGAGTCAAGTTAATAATACAAAAAATTGGTGATAAATTCTCAACCTCATATAATCAGCCGACAAAGAAAACGGCATTCATTGTGGTTTAGAAGGCGCTCTTGTTTTCTGCATTTGATGTCATAAGGGCCGTTAAAATTTTATTAATTTCGCGGCGATAGTTCCTGGGAGAGAAAATTTCTGGGAAAGGTAATTTTTCTATCATGAATATATTATAATTAAATTTCGTAATTATGACGTGGTCACGCAAAAACCACCTTAGCGACAAGAACTATTCAGGCAAGAAAACTATTCATTTTTCAACTATTCAACTATTCAAGAAAACTAAAATATTTATCCGAAAACTATTCAGGCAAGAAGAGTAAATATTTTATGTAGTAAATACGTAAATCACTTGGGTTATTGAGTTCCCGCATTAAAAAATAAAAAATTCAAAAATTTTCTAGATACAACCGAGCAATGTCAATTGCCAACTCTGCAGATTAATTAATTCATTAACAACTTAATGCTTCAAGATATAATAAATTCTGGAATATATATGTAATTTTATTTAAACACAATATTTATTATTGCTGAATGTTAATTTCATTGCGAGTAAAATCCATGCTACTATTAAATTAGCAATAAATATACAAGGTTATTTAATTTTTCACACATTGAGATAGTTTTGCACAACTCACAGGTCAGTTTTAGAAAATATTCACACGGTAAAAAATTTTTTTATGATAATTTTAAATATCAATATTCCCATTAAATGTTAAATTTTAAGTAACATCATTAATAATTGATACATCGATTAATGGAACTACTCAAAAGTTTTATAGATAATCATAAATTAAATGTTTCTTCCTGCGTTTTCTTAGCGTTTTTTCGCATCAGCTTCTTCCGCAGTGATTATTCAGTTACAACCGATAATCTTCCAAGAAACTTTTTTACATTAGCAATGCAAAACTTGCGCTCATGCATCTGTTTTATCGTGCTGATATGTTATTCTGTCGAGGGCCTATAAAAAGTTTGTCCAACGGATTCATAAAAAAAAACATATCCATCTGAGTTACATCAACAGAGCTAGAGCGAAATGGACACTTACTAAAATTATTGAAATAATTTTCAACTGTCTTCTGATGAGGTGTTCAGGTGTTAATGATGAACTTTCCCGATCAATAGATACATATCATATGAACAATATGAACCAATTTAAAAATTGGGTGGTAGAATGTTTTATGTTTTGAAGCGATGATGATCTTATGAACACATGATCGAAGAATTTCTATATTATTTAAGCCAAAAAGTAAAACCATTATCGTATATAATTTTCACCACACACAATTCACATGTTTTTGATTGAATAAATTCTATTCCATAGCTGGTCCCGCAGCCCCGGCCTTCAAGGTAGCCGCGGCCCCAGCCTTCAAGCCTGCACCTGGAGCGAGTCCAGCCTTTGTGCCCAAAGCAAGCCCAAGCCCAGCCTCGGTATCCACGATACCCGAGAACCCAGCCTCTGGAAGCCCAGCCTTCATCCCAGCGGCCACTGGAAGCCCAGCCTTCATCCCAGCGGCTACTGGGAGCCCAGCCTTCATCCCAGCGGCTACGGGAAGCCCAGCCTTCAACCCAGCGGCTACTGGGAGCCCAGCCTTCAACCCAGCAGCCACTGGAAGCCCAGCCTTCAACCCGACGGCTATTGGAAGCCCAGCCTTCAACCCGGCGGCCATTGGAAGTCAAGCCCAGACTAACTCTACGCAATTCACTCCTCGGGCCACAATGAATGCTGGTTCAGGAGGCCAAATGAGTTTGGCTGACAAGAGGAGGAGTGTCAACTTCAACTTAGCGGCTTCAGGCTGGGGCACTTATAACGAATACTACCGACCTACGTCCTTCGCTACGTAAACGAACTAGCTTTGTTTTTTCTAGGGGTAACTGTCGAAACTATCGAAACATTAGTTATTCAGTCTCCACCGAAATTTGATTGATTGAAATGTCCAATTTTTCATTGTGATGGAAAATTAAGTTGGACGTTCATGAAGTGTTCTATAAATATATCTTTCTGATAAAAAAATTTGTTGAAGGAGGATATTCAGCTTTTTCTAGGGTCACTATCGAAAAATTAGTAATTCAGTCGCCACCGAAATTTGATTGATTGAAATGTCCACTTTTTCACTGTGATGGAAAATTAAGTTGGACGTTCATGAAGTGTTCTATAATATATCATTATCATAGAAGAATTTTTTGAAGGAGGATATTCAGCTTTTTCTAAGGTCACTATCGAAAAATTAGTAATTCAGTCGCCACCGAAATTTGATTGATTTAAACGTCCCATTTTTCACTGTGATGGAAAATTAAGTTGGACGTTCATGAAGTGTTCTATAAATATGTCATTATAGTAAAAAAATTGTTGAATGCGGATATTTATTTCAACGAGAAATTTTAAAAGCGAATTCCAATAATGGCCATCACAGCAGAAGCTGTTTACGATGAAACAATGATGCAGTCTCCTTGGATTAATTAATGTTTAAATTCGGAATTTTCTATTTAAGTCTGAATATGGGGCTCAATAATTATTAATATGTATGAAATTATTATCGTTGATTTACCCAATATAAAGTAGTCGAAGTTTTTAAACTTATCAACCAAAAAAACGCACTTATTGAGTTTCTTTATCATGCTCACTGATAAACTAAATAAAATAAATAAATGAAGTATATTTAAAACATGACTGAATGATGAGCAACACATTTTATCTCCGCAACACGTATGACGTCACGTATGACGTCACGTATGACGTCACGTATGACGTCACGTATGACGTCACGTATGACGTCACGATGTATAATTCTTATAACATGTGAATATTGTTATCTAAGTTTAGCGTGCTTTTATTATTAGGTTTTTGTTTGTTGTGGCAACTTGCCAGAGTTATTGTCCGTTTGTTTCAATTAATTTCATAAGGAATTAGCTCGAGTTTCGTGAACAATTCAATATCTCAATGAGTCATAGTTTCTTTTCAGACGAAAGAATTTTTTCATAATTGGAATTTTGTTTCTTTAAATAGATAACCGACAACTTTTTCATTCAAATAGGAAACATAATTTAATGTTATGTTTATCGTGTCGACTTTGTTTATTTTACATTTTGCCTATCGCCAATTCTTCACATCAACTTTTTGCTCCATCTTTCTGGGACTATGAACCCGCAACTCACTGCTCCATCTTGTTGCTGTAAACTTTATTCACAACTTTGTTCCTCGTCCACAGTGCCATTTATTATAATTAAAATATATTAGTATATTTTTAAACGTTCGTTAATCAACTTAATTAGCAACAAACGAACCAAACTATTCGTTCAATGTTAGAATTACATCAAATTCAATGAGCAGACAATTTTGTCTTGAGCTTATTTTGAAAATTCGATAATAATCATTGAGAACAAAAGTTTGTTTAATAGTAAGTTGTTATCTAGTTTATCAGTGCCTGGGTACAAGTTTAAAAAATTATTTATTATCAATATGGAAGACACAATTTTTATTGTAAATTTTTTAATCAATTTAAATTATAATAAAAATGTTTTGATATTAATAATTTATTGTGAATTATTGAATTTATTATGAATAATTTACATATTTCAAAATATTTATTGTTTATAATCATACAATATCGGACGGGGGTGAAATGATTTATTTTCCCTTGCATGTTTCTTGTTCTTCACTATGTATATATGCAGTTCTTTATTTGCCTACTTGCTTGGAAGCTTGCCCAAAAAAAATATTATTTAAATTGTTCTCACAGAGCCAGGATACGGCAGAAAAATAATTAAGGTAATAATAAATTGTTTAATTGAGAACTCAAATTAGTTACAATTGTTAATTTCAAGATGATTTTAATTTTAGCATAAATTTATCAACTAAAATCTCTATATATAATTCATGGATTTCCGCTACCAGTTGTTTTATATCTAATAAATTTCAATTTATCTAATGTGAGGATATTGATTTCAGAAATATTTTCATAATACAAAAAAGATTTTTGATTTATCCAATTTCGTTTTATTTCGCTCTATGCTGCGTTTTATTTCGCTCTATGTTGTTCTGGTAACTTTTTTGTGGTAGGCAGTCATGTGTTAAGAACGGTCAACTTTTCTTCGAATATACGAACTTTTTACTAGAATCTTCTTCTTTTATTATCCTCAAAATTAGCATCATTTTGCCTTACAAAATAGCACTACGGTATTTCAGATAAAACAAAAGGTACCACACTGAAGAAGCTTATATAAGTTTCTAAATTATTTTCAAAGGCCACACGACTGATATTTAACGATGTAAAAAATAATCTATTAAAATTCTAACAAACTTTTGAAATCTAAACTGTAACACATTCTGGAGACGCATGAGTCAGCTCCGAAGTAAACATTTATAGTAAAACTATTCAGACCTCCGCAACCTAACCTCAGCGTCCTTTTTCTGTGGCTTCCAGCAGTTCCCAGACTATCACATGTGACCGTGGCAGCTCGCTAGTAATAGTTAATCTGAATCATTTGTGTTCGGTGTCATCTTGATCAACTTTAAAGTAAGTATCTTTATTATACAAAAGCGTTATCAAGGATTACGCGTTTGAATATCTTCAGTTGAATATCTTCTTTTATTTTGGAGCATACTGTTAACAACTATAATGTTGAAGAAGAGTCGTTGCAACACTTTCGAAGTGATGAACCTCTTCGATGTAATGTATCAAATCCCAGTAAAATTTAGAGAAGATTACATACATTTGCCATTCTGTGTTCTCTGTTCGACAAAACAGCGTCATAAGCCCCGTCGACATTTTTTTTATTCACCACCACGCCCGGTTATTGGTATCGTCTTTGAAGTTTTGTCCAACTTTGTCCTTTCTTCGACTCGTCAATTATTAGGTACGCATCTTGTAGGTATTAACGTATCTTTTCTGTGCAAACGGCTTTTTCACTGAGTAAAAGCAAAATATGCTCGAAGTTCTGAAAAATGGCACCTTATTGTCGACCTGCCGCCTATCCAACGTCTTGTACGGTTTCTTAACCGGAATAAAATATTCAAATTTCTTTTCATATTCTTCTCCATCGCTTTCGTGTGATGAAGCTTTGTTTTAAGTCTGGGTCTCTTAGTTTTAAATCTGGGTCTTTAAATTTGGGTCTTTAAATCTGGGTCTCTAGATCCATCTAGATATATCTATAACTATCAAGGACTATCTAGAACTTTCTAGATCTATCTAGGGCTTAATAGCCTGCCGAAGTACAGAAGCTTCCTCTTCGTGAGTTTTCATAATGAATTTCAAATTTCATTGAAACGTTTGATATTTTCGATTTTTTCACCTCATTCAACGTTCGTAAAAGATGAAGGGCTTAGCTCTGTGCATTTATTGAATTTTGTTGTAAAAATCATAAGAAATATTGTAGAGTTTAACCCCAAATCTGAAAACTACAGTTCATGTGCAATATATGAAATCAAAACTGGAATTTAGCAGCATTTCAAATTTATGGAGCAGTTCTTTGAAATAAAGCAATTTATTCTTAACATTTTATTTTGAAGTATTATTAAGGATAAGAATAGGTATGAAAACTACTTTATCTTTAATCTTTGGTTTTTCTTTCGATAGTCTCTTGATATTTTCATGTTCTGAGAGTCATCTTAAGGGAACGAATTTATAGTGAAATGCAACATCAAAATTTTCATCGTATTTTTGGAGTTCAGACGAGAAACAACAAATTACTCGCAGTATTATTAAAAAACGTAGTTGACGTATTAGACGTAGTTGACGTATTAGACATAGTTGACGTATTAGACGTAGTTGACGTATTAGACGTAATTGACGTATTAAACGTAGTTGAGGTATTAGACGTAGTTGACGTATTAGGCGTAGTAGCCGTATTAATCGTAGTTGACGTATTAGACGTAGTTGACGTATTAGACGTAGTTGACGTATTAGACGTAGCTGACGTATTAGACATAACTGACATATTAGACGCAGTCAACGTACGAGACGTAGTCGACATATTAGAAGTATTCGACTTATTAGAAGCAGTCAACGTCTATTTTTCACTAGGCATCTGTCGCGTTTGGAATGGTCCTACAAAAGATTGGAAATTTTTATGTTACTTCACTAACGATATTGTCTATGCTTTTCTGAAAAATGAATGTTGAATACTTGTCAAGCTCCCACTTGTAGTCTTCCCTTCCGATAATAATTCGCCGTTTACATTCATACATTGTTAAAAAGAATATCTATTAAATGATATCATATTGCATGCTTAATCTAATCTAATTCATCACTTATTCCAAAAAGCAATGTGGCGCAAAGTGTGGCGTACTATATTTTGCATTCCTGTGTGGCGTTCGCTGCGTGAAGCGAACGCCACATAGGGCAAAAATATGACAAAAAATATAATGCAAATTAAGTGAAAAAAATGAATACCATTCCATTAAATCTCAAATTTATTCGTAAGAATTTCAATTTTGGAATTATTAAGCGTTTCAGTTTCAGTAAGTCTAGTTCTGATTGAAGTCTTTACTAGGAACTAAGAGTTTGATTTAAAAGTTTATATCAAGAAAGTTTTTACTGAGAAAGTTTTAACTCTGCTAAAGTTCACTGAGAAAGTTTCTATTGAGAAAAGTTTACTAACAAAGTTTTCACGGTATCGTACGTCCGCCCTCCGCCGCAGCTAGCAGACAACAGTACGACAACTGCAGACGTCGTCGATACTGCAAAGGAGTGTTCACTCCCGCGCTGACCGGTCACTTGCCTCACTTCTATCATATTTAATTATCAAACAATGCAAAAGTGAATAGTATTTATAATTTAATCACTAGATATGAACAAGTTTAACAAACTTTACAGCTGAGTTTCAGTGAATGAAACATTATTGTATGGATTTAATGCGTTGATTATAAAGAAAGTATTGGAAAGCCCCACCCTTTCGGCTGCCGGTACCGTGAAAGCGGTCAAGTATGATGAATATTGTATGATTATTACAGGCTTTTTTGTGATTATCCTAAGTGAACAGGATTACCGTTTTTCATTATTAGGGAATAGTATTGTGGAAAAGAACCAATCCCACGGTGAAGTGCTGATTTTGGTTTCAATAAAAGCAATTGCTATATTGGATATGCAAATGTTCACTACCACGATACCCATGTCACTTTTGCCGTGAAGAAATAAGGTGTGCATCATCATCCACAATTACCAATAATATTGCAATTGTTGTCTGTATTATTTATTCACTGATGCTAACCATTTCACTTGTATGCAGTTTTTCTTATATATTGCAGGCTTCTGCTGTCCTCTAATTCAAATACATATTTCGTATTCCGGAATACGACAGAAAGTGCAGAAAGTCCACGGACTTTGCAACTGACATTTAAGTATTAGTGAGGGGCGCTAGGAATAGAAATAATCAAGATAAGGATCAAAAATATTTGTATTGACTTTCCAAACATTCACTGATAGCTGCTGTGTGCCAGAATATTAAAGGAATTTTTGTTAGAGTTTTACTTATAAAATTGTCAATTTCACCAATGAACACAGTGTTATACATTGATTGAAGTACTCATTAATTTAAATATATACATTAATTAATAGTATATATGAATTCTTGTGTTTAATTAGTACCAAACAAATTTTGTCACGTTAATTGAAAATTTTCATTCATTGAAAAAACCATGAATGTTAATAACTCCCGACTGTAGGAATAACTCTAGTAATATACTTACAAGCTAGATACAAGCTGGATGCCATATCAAATTTGAAACTATTGCAATGTAATTGCGAGAATGTTATCAAATATAACTTGAATATACTGAATGACATTTTATCTGCAAAAAGCTTGTTTTCCTCATAATTTTCGTCGAACACTTTGAGGGATTATCCGCGATTATTCCGTTTAATTCATTCAATCAATCTAATATCATAAGTCAACTTTATCGCCAGTTCAGCAAGAATTTAAAAGCAAAGAAAATGCAAATAATTTCATCATATCTTCATCGAAGTATACATGAATTTTCTTTCTTCTGTTTGTTCATCCACAGTATGGATAAATTCCATATTCCTTCCGCGAATAAAGCTTTAATTTTGACACCACACTCAAAGAATGAATGCATCATATTGTCTAAATAGTGACTCACGGAACCAGGACAGCCTTTTTTTGAAGGTACAAACTGGGTCAGGTTGGCCCACTCAAGCATAAAAATTGCTTCAACATTGGGACAAATTCTATGCATTTACGTGCGCTTGCAGGGAGGTCCCTTTATCCGCTTATCTTCAATTAGGTTATATTGCACTACACAAATTAGGTTATATTGCACTACACAAATAAGGTTTATATTGCACTACACAAATTAGGTTATATTGCACTACACAAATTAGGTTATATTGCACTACACAAATTAGGTTATATTGCACTCCACAAATTAGGTTATATTGCACTACACAAATAACTTAAAGAAGTACTTACTGTACTACTTACTGAAGTACTTTCTGTACTACTTACTGAAGTACTTACTGTACTACTTACTGAAGTACTTTCTGTACTACTTACTGAAGTGCTTACTGTAATACTTACTGGACTACTTACTGTACTACTTACTGCGATGCTTTATTTTCTACTTACTTTACTGCTTACTCTAATATTAATTTTGCTGCTTAATTTAATACTTATTTTACCTCTTACTCTACTTCTAACTTTGCTGCTTACTTTGCTATTTACTTTGTTACATGTTTTGCTACTTACTTTACATCTTATTCTACTTCTAACTTTGCTGTTGACTATGTTATTTACTCTGCTACTTAGTTTGCTACTTTACTGCTTACTCTACTTCTGGCTTTGCTGCTTACTCTGCCACTTACTTTAATACTTACTGTACTATTACTATAGTACTAATTTGCTGCCTAATTTGCTACTTAATTACTACTTACTCTACTAGTTACTTTACTATTTTTTACTTTTTTACGATACTTAAACTTCATGCATCACCACGCTCCTATGATGTTCATCACACTTTCATGATGTTCATCGGCTATTATTTGGGGTAATTTTAAATGTGGTCCATTTCACTCAGGCTGAAGTAAAGGCGAAAGAAAAAATTCACGCGTAAATGGCAGAAAGATATTTTGTTTATGGCAATTATTTTGGTGGATCTGAGGTGTATGATGCAATAATTTAGGTTCTGAATGTGTATAATTCAATTCCTGTTGTCTGATTGAATAAACGGGAAAATAAGTTTAGAACATTTATATTTCAAGTGGAGTAGAATCGATTGTGAATTGCAAAAGAATGAAATAAATTAGGCTGATGTTGCCGGAATTATTTCCAACGAATAAAGTGTTAAAGTTACTTTTTTCAAATTTAATAAAAAGTTAGATTTATTTACTACCAGATTCTCTTAATAAATTTTCATGCAGACTGTAATGGAAAATATTTTAAAAAATTCAATCGCTTCTTCCTTATTACCGTATAGAAAAATAACCAAATAACCTAATAAATCTGAAATTCCACTGCATCGAATTTTTGAAAAATAGCTCAGCTAATTAAAATTTAGTGAATAACCAAATAACCTAATAAAACTGAACTAGCACCGCATCCATTTTTTTAAGAATTAGCTCAGCTAATTAAATTTTAGTGAAGAATTTTTGCAATGTCGGGTGACCAAGGGCAAGTGCTGGTAGAAAGTTCTCCTGGAAGTCAAGGCATAGATTCCTACGCCTGGAGTGCTGGGAGTCTGAACAGCAATCCTACATTCCTGACGCTCAGAAGGAGTCCTGCCGACAAGAAGGATACCAGCCGGGACAAGAAGAAAGAGGTTCCTAAGAAACATACGGAGGATGAACGCATGAAGGTACTTTATTTATGGTACCTTACTTTATCACTAATCAATGAAAATATTGATTAGAGATAGTAAATCAATCGTGTGATTGTCGTTGTATATACAGGTAAGATTCGTACGACTGTTAATCANAAAATATACATATAAATTGATAGAAGTCGTAATATTTGTGTGTATGCGCCACAGCTGTGTGTGAAAAATATACATATAAATTGATAGAAGTCGTAATATTTGTGTGTATGCGTCACAGCTGTGTGTGTAAAATATACATATAAATTGATAGAAGTCGTAATATATGTGTGTATGCGTCACAGCTGTGTGTGAAAAATATACATATAAATTGATAGAAGTCGTAATATTTGTGTGTATGCACCACAGCTGTGTGTGTAAAATATACATATAAATTGATAGCAGTCGTAATATATGTATGTATGCGCCACAGCTGTGTGTGAAAAATATACATATAAATTGATAGAAGTCGTAATATATGTGTGTATGCACCACAGCTGTGCGTGTGTGGTCTAGGACCACGCGTACGACAGCTACGACACGACATCGTACATCTCAACGACGTCCACGAGAAGCTCCTACGCGGTCTACACGAGCAGATCGAGCAGCTGAAGATACGAAACAGGGGTGCGTATACTAATTAAAGATGCTCATATATTGGGAAAATATTAATATAATTAATATTATAAGAATAATATATAATTATTTTAATAAATAGGGTACGTAAACTAATAAAATATCCTTATAAACGGGAAAGTATTATCCGTTGTCGCTAACATGAGTTAGGAATAAAATTCCTTATTCCTTTTTTTGTTGCGCTAACATAGAATAAATTTTGGTAGCGGTGAGTATTTTTCACTTGAAAAAACCTGCTAGGTAGTTGGAAGAAAAGTTATCAATTTTTATTTTAGTTATGTATTGTATCAAAATTTTTTAAAAACGTAGCTAAAATTAAAATATATTAGCCCGATATTCGAAGTATAAAGTACTTGACGCAAATATTATCGGTTAATACTTTCCCCGTGTATAGGAACCTGTAAATACGATAAGTAGTAGAGGTTCAACAAAAATAGAATGATATCGTAGGTATTATTTACACAAAATTTCAATTATGTTACGTTTTCTTGCTTGGGAAATTCATTTCAAATATTTCAACAAAAAATTGTCAAACTTACTGTGAATAAATTTTATTATCAACTATTCTTATTAACATTAATGATTTATTTTTGTATTGAATAAGACAAGTTANTTTCTGCTTCAATGATATGGTCATAGGATGAATTAATTTTAAATGAAGAAGAATTTGAGACAAAATTCTTGTCGTGCTTCGGTTTGGTGGTAAAAACAATGATTAATTATGAAATGCAAAAAATTTTGAAACAAAATTCTAACCTTTTTAGCTTCAATTTAATTGTCATATGATGAATTAATTATGAAAATTAGAAGAATTTTGAGCTATAATTTATATATTGTTCGTTACTAGTTTCAGATAGCTGGATAAAAAACGAAGTAATTATAAAATGTAGAGAAATAATTAAACGAATATTTAGATTTAATTTTTATTGATGCTTGAGTGGAATGTCCCTAATATGAAATTATGATATAAGTTTATAAAAATTCCGCTAAGCAATTTAAATTTTATTCTTTTAAGCTTTAAGGTTGGCCTTACAATTAAATAATTACGAAATTACGATAATCCAGAAACTAAATCATATTTTTTCTTCTTTTTAGTGTTAATAAAATGGTCATAAGAGGAAATAATTATAAAATATATTGCTTGATCGTATTAATAAACGAAATATTTTTTATTAGGCATTGTATAATACAGTTATACATGATTATAAGTACGAGTGAATTATGAAATAGAACGAATATTGGTCATAATTGACATTTCTGTGGTTTAACGGTCTGCATATGGAACAAAATTGCATGAAAATTATTCTTTAAATTCGATTTTTTTATCCAAAACATATCTCTACTGTCGGTGATTCTTTTTCAATTCATGTTTGGCAATGTATTCATTATCAGCACTATATATATATTAACCAATTTATATAATAATTCTATAAAACCCCTAAGCAGTTATAAAAACTCTGTGCCCCATGGCCTATATCATGATTTATCATCGCTGCTGCGAACTAGAGAGTTTAATTTTATTGATTTTATGACAATATAAATAAAAAATCCTAATAACCAAGAAGCAATTGTTTGTAAAGTTATTCAGTTGAATTGCTAAGTTTGTAAGAGTATATATTCATTCGTTAATGAAATGAGTGAATATAGTGTATAGCATTTAATGTGAATATAAAACATTCACTCATTTAATGAAAATGATTTCCTTATTCTATCTTCAACGCACTAAAGTCAAATAATAACAAAAAAACTTGTTCGTACATGAAAATTTGAAGCAGATAATAGTTTGCTCGCTGCTAAAATAGGAGCAAACCTATTTAAAATTCATGTTATTTTAATGAAAATCTAAAATGTCAACGTCCAAAAATCAATTTTCATATCTTTCAAATATTAAAATTCATAGTATACAATACGTTTTGTTTTTATTATATTTATAAACATATTTAGGAATGAACCATTCCATGATGCCTAAAGATCAATTTTCAAATGTTTCAGATGTAAAATTTGTAAATAAATATATATAAATAAAACGTTTCCACGATGCCCATAGATCAATTGTCAAATGTTTCCTATGTTAAATTGGTAATGTGAAATAATATTTTTTATTGATATATATAGAACAATATTTAAAAATGAACTTTTTCGTGATGCCCAAAGATCACTTTTCAAATATTTCACATGTTAACTTAGCAATTTGAAATAATATTTTTTAATATATATAACGATATTTATGAATGAACTTTTCCATGATGCCCAAAGATCAATTGTCAAATATTTCATATGTTACATTTGTGATATGAAATAATATTTTTTTACTAATATGTATAACAATAATTATGAATGAACCTCTCCATGATGCCTAAAGATCAATTGCCAAATATTTCATAGGTTAAACTTGTTATGTGGAATATTTTTTTTATTAATATGTACAACAATATTCATGAATAAACCTTTCCATGATGCCCAAATATCAATTGTCAGGCCTTCCATATGTTAAATTTGTAATTTGATATAATATTTTTTCATTGATATATATAATAATATTCATAAATGAACTTTTCCATGATGCCCAAAGATCAATTTATTTACAAACCTTCCTTACGTTAAATTGATAAAATGATCTAATATTTTTTATTAATATATTGAACTATATTTATGAATGAATTTTCCCATGCTCCTCAGGTTCCTGTACAAGCCTCCCCCGAGGCAGATACGTTATCTTCGTCATCCTCAACCCACGGCAGAAGCGAACAGGAAGATAAATCCTACGTCTCAGTTCAGGATCCTATGAATCCTTTAATTAAAACAGATCTTTCAAAACAAAATATCGATAATAATTCAAGCCATGAAGCTGACGAAACAAATTTAAGTGACGTAAATCCTAAAACTTTGACTCTAAGAGGGAAAAACGTTGCTGCAAATTTGTTGTCAAAAGGCGGTATAAAATCTAGCGATAAACACACGGAAAAATTACCACATGGCGACCATATCTCAAATCTCGGCGACACTGAAATTCAAAATTCAGTTCAAACCATGAATTATAAAACTCCTCAAAACCCAGTTGGAAGTTCCAGCATGAATTTGCTCGAATCAGATTCAGATATTCAGAAAATTTCTATGAATTTGCCAGAAATTTCGAGAAATGAAGTGGGTAAAAGAGCAACAACCTTCACCCCACCACCCAGCGGCAACACTGATCCTTCGGCGCTGATTTTGTGGTGAGTTACTGGTGAACTAATTTAAAATTTGAAGTGTAACTGACGAAAATTAAAGTAAAACTGCCGAAATTTAAAGTAAAACTGCTGAAATTTAAAGTAAAACTGCCGAAAATTAAAGCAAAACTGTCGAAAAAATTGCATTGAAAGTGGTTGCTAAAATAAAAACACTTTTTAAGAAATTGCTAGACTGTTCAGGTAAAGTTAGAAGTGATATTTTTACAAAAATTACTTGAAATTGGATTTAATGCTATAAGTGATAGTTGTAAAGAAATCACCTTGCAAATGGTTTCAAATGTAAAATGATACTTTAAAAAATCACTTTAGAAGTGATTTAAGTTAGAATTAATAATTTAAAAAATAATATAAAAGTTAAAAAATAGATAGTTTAAAAGTTCATTACAAAGTAATTTGAAATTTGAAAGTAATATGTTTTTAAATGTAATACTTTTAACGAAGTCAATTAACGACTCGACATCGAAGATTGAATATAACATGTTTAATATATAAATATAGGTATTCAATCAAAGAATTACTAAATCATTCCTCACCTGAAGATGTAGGATACCGAGCATCATTAATCACTGGTATTTTTATTAATTATTGGCGGTATCTGAAGAATATCGTGATTATTTAGCGGTTGTCTGACTGATTAAGTAAGTATTCTGATATGAATATTTTGTATACCTCGGGATTACCATAAATGGATCACATAGTTTAGAAAATGAATCGTTGTGTACAGTTATCCACATTAGAACACGGACTCTCCTCATGTTGGATGTGCGTTGATTTTAATGTTGGATTAGTATACGCTCTCGTGGTTGAGGATGAATAAATCTTCGTGCTGAATACTCGAGAGTCAGCGTCTTGAATTTGACTTGATGTTGATGAACATGAGTGAATTTTTTTTAGTGATATGAATGAATATATGAAAATATATGAAAATTTATATATGAATATATGAAAATATGAGTGAAATTAATATGAGTGAAATGAATATGAGTAATGTTGATGAACATTACTGAAATGAACATAAGTGAAATGAATATGCAAAGACACGGACCTTGTCCAAAAAATGTTGCAGTTCTCGCCCTCTTGAGTCTTATTCAGTCTATTTTAGGCTCGAAATAAGGGCGTATCAATGATACGTACAAAAAGTGTATCACAATTTTGACAGTATGAATCTCTGGACCAAGAGCTGCTGGAGGAGGCCACCGCAGAGCTTCGTGCAGAGCAACGCAGGACTTCAGAGCTCACGCAGACTGTGCAGAGACTCACCAGGTGCCATGTTAATGAGATAATTCTTTAATATTAATTAAAATAAAAAGTTTTCTGAGTGCAGAGACTCACTGGGTACAATGTTAATGGAATTATTGTTTATTTTTAATGGACAGAGACTCACTAGGTGCCATGTTAATGAGATTATTGTTTAATATTAATGGACAGAGACTCACTAGGTACGATGTTTATAAAATTATTGTTTATTATTAATTAAAATGAAAAATTTTCTGAGTGCAGAGACTCACCAGGTGCCATGTTAATGAGATAATTGTTTAAAACTAATTAAAATAAAAAATTTCTGAAATAGTTGTTAAAATTTAAGGGAAATAAAAATTTCTAAAATAATTGCTTTAAATTAAATGGCTTCGGGAAATAATTGACTGAATCAAGTGTAAGAAAAAATTCATGAGATTAATGCTATAAGTTAATAGCAGTGGAAATTCGTAGAATAGTTGTTCAAAGTTATTGGCGATAAAAATAATTGAAATAATTGCTTAAATTAAAGGCACGAATTTGCCCCTCAACCGAAGATTGAATGAATAGGCTAAGCCAGATCTTTTTGTGTCAATTATCTGTCAATTCTTTGCCTAGAAAATCAACAATCTAAGCTCCATTGCTTGATAAAATGAATTTTGCTTCATGGCTTTACATTATTTCCACTTTAGAGACCGATTGATTCAATCAGTAGATTACTCGGCTTATTAGGGGTTCAATGATCACCATTACATCGAAAATTAATAAGCCTTAGGCTTCAGCAATTAATTATATTCGATGTTATTTATCTAAGATCTTCACGTGACTTATTTCTCTTCAGCTTCATACCTCACACATAAAAATTTTTAATCGAAATATTTTTACCTTCAACATATTACAGAGAGCTGCAGTCAAAATCGTCGCAGCTTCATACATCACTCTTGAAAATTTTTCATTCAAAATATTTTCAAAACATTAACCTTTATTACAGAGAGCTGCAGTCCAAATCGTCCCTCGTCGCCGACACTCACATTCCGTTTACCAACGCCATGAAGAAAGCCGCCCACCGTTCCGCCCCTCCGGCGTTCAGGACCCAGATCATCCGACCAAGAGGTGACCATGACTCTGGCATCGTCCGACCAAGAGGTGACCATGACTCTGGCATCATTCGACCAAGAGGTGACCATGACTCTGGCATCATCCGACCAAGAGGTGACCATGACTCTGGCATCATCCGACCAAGAGGTGACCATGACTCTGGCATCGTCAATATCCTGAAACTTGATGACGACAATGAGGTCGTCGAGACTACGATCGAAGTGAACCGTGCAAACGAGGCTGGTGATACCGTTGGTCGTCATGGTATCTTGGATAAAAAAACTGGCGTGGATAAAAATTATCGGGGAGACCGGTCACGGGCTATAGCAGGAGTGGGAGCCATGTCTGGAGTCATGGCCATAACAGGAGCCGGAGCCATATCCGGGGATGAAGCCATATCTGGAGCCGGGGTCATAAAAGGAGCCGGAGAAATATCAGAAGCTAGAGCCTTTTCCGGAGCCATAGCCATTTCCGGAGCCGATGCCACATCCGGAACCAGTGCCATATCCGAAGCCGAAGACTCTGGAGCCGTAGCCATGTCTGGAGACGAAGCCATATTCGTGGCCGAACCCACAATCAAAGATGAAATGGAGAAGGCAAACGTTGTGTTAAATAGAGAACAATATGAGAGTACGCTGGAGTTCCAAAAACAGCTGCAACAACAAAGACAAAAACAACAGCAAAATCAACGCACATTTGCTCCCGTACATCTTCCCGAAGTTATCAGAATTAAAGACAAAATGAAGAAGGTAATCCCAAATTTTGAATTGACAATGAATGATTGTGAGAGAAATCTTGTGGAAAAATTTAAGGTTCATTACAAATTGTATAGAAACCAAAGAGGATAATTAAATTTTATTGCCAATATTTGAAACAATCATTATAAATAATTTAGCTCTCGCCATTTGGAGAGCATTTTATTAAATTTTGGTTTGGTTCCCAAATCCTTGTTTTCCTGTGAAAACAAAAAATAATTTTCCGACCTCAAATAAGATGTCTTAGTTTATTTTGTTGAAGCATGAAAGCATTTTTTAAAATATATTTCAATTTAAGCAACAGAAATTTTGCAAGCGATAGCCGCCTTTATGCAGAAATAAACATTGCCGATTTTTAAAAAATTATATAATTATTTATGACAATTTAGCTTCCAAACTCTATGAAAACTTTAAAATACCTCCAAACTTCATTGTTTGATTTATAATATGTGGACAAATAAGTTGCCCTCTTCGATATAAAGACAGCAGCAAATTAATCTTATCTTAATATTTTTTCAGCGATCCTTCAATCCCTCTTTTGTAAAAATTAAGGCAAAAACAGAATTTTTGTCGAAAAAGTAGTCCCAACTTGCCATGTTTGTTCTTTTTCCAGGACAAGGAAAGTGACGCGGCAACAGCGAGTTTTCTCCCTCCCATCGTGGAAAAGCAGCAGCGCGACCGGTATTTTTTTATAAAAAAAATTCTGATAATAATTTTATTAATTTTGAATATAATAATGAAATAACTTTTCGATAAAAATTGCACGGAAAATTATGACTAAAATTTTTTATAGGAACAAAAAAATCTAAATCATTAAAATGTGTTACTATATCAAAGTCTTCTGAGGCGGAAAACTTTAAGTTTAAATTTCTTCTTATAGATATTTTTCTAAGCCACACTGGACGAAGCATATCTAAGGGTCTCATGTATATTTATGTATGTATTCTCACATCATCATTGCCTTTATTTCACCTCTCACATGTTCATTGATCAACTTTTACAGTTCGTTGACTCGTGACTGGTCCGCAACTGCTGCTACTAGTCCCGCCCCGCTTGTCTTACCCGCCATTCGTCCGAGAAATATGGAAGTTTATGACCACGAAGCTGACAAGATAGACAGGAAAAAATCAACCGATAACAAAAAATTCTCAAACAAAAAACAAGAACCTCATAGAAAAAATAGCAATGGTCAAAAAGTGACGGAAGATTTGCCTGCAAAAAATATTTCAGCTACAGATCATGGAAGTCGTTCATCTAGCCTGACCCCAATAGTGAATCGCAGACCTAATGAAAGAAAAAGCCTAGAAGACAAACAATCTCCAGGTAGAGCATCGAAGTCAGCTGTTTCGAAAGTAAATAACCCGGGGAAATTATTACAAGAAAGTAACCAAACTCCTAGCGAAGGTAACTCCCTTGCGTCTTCCCCGTCTTCCAAGTTTCGATCTCGTGGAAGTCCTTTACGAACGCCTCATGGATCTCCGAAGAACGCCAGCACCGCTCTGTCACCTCGTGCTTACGGAATTGCTAGGAAATCTTCTGAAGCAAAAATTAATAGAACTTTAGCTGCTAATTCTAGCCCTAAACACGAGACTATTTCTAGAACCCAAGAGCCAAGCGGTTCTCCGAACCAACACAGAACGGCTACACGCATGTCAACAAAACCACTTCAACCAATCAGGCCGACATCAGCCGGCATGCAACCGGCTGATCTGATCCCATCACCCAGATATGTCCAAGTTGTCGGATCTAGTGGACCATCAGTTTCTAGTACCGGTAAAACCTCGGGAAAAATTTCTCAACGCTCGGAAACACCTCAAAATCTGAATGAAGCAGTGGTTATGGACACCGAAAATCCGAAATCGATTACATCTGCCGCGCCAAAGCAAGTCGTGTTTGAAAGTCCCGTGAAATCAATTAGGGATGATGAGTCTTCGCCCCGATCTAGTGGATCAACAATTTCGGGTTCAGGTATTTCTTCAGGGTCTACAAATCCTCCGACATCACCAAGTGCAGGAGGAGAATCTAGTCCCAGAGACGTTGGTGGATCACCTGTTTTGGGTTCAGGTATTGCTTCAGGGTCTACATATCCTCCGACATCACCAAGTGCAGCTGAGGTATATAGTCCCAGAGATGCTGGTGGATCACCTGTTTTGGGTTCAGGTATTACTTCAGAGTCTACATATGCGCCGACATCACCAAGTGCAGCTGAGGTATATAGTCCCAGAGACGTTGGTGGATCACCTGTTTTGGGTTCAGATATTGCTTCGGGGTCTACAAATCCTCTGACATCACCAAGTGCAGAAGGTGGATTCAGTCCTAGAGGTGCTGGTGGATCAGAGGCTGTATCGGAACCAACGGAAACTGCGCAAAAAAGAATTGAAACGAACATCAATCGAAGTAAAAACAAGAACAGAAATAAGCGCGGACTGCGAAGCAGGCGCAAGAAACAGAAGGATAACGGGTCGCCTATATAACAATTTCCGTTGATAAATGTAAACAAATTGCGAAAATAAATTTACGTAAATAAATTCATAGTTAAAAGTTAACGCTTCAAAATTATTAGTCACTTTTAAGAACTGTTGAGATAAATTTTTGGAAATTCAACTAATTTTTATCAAATGATGTTGCTAATTAAAATAGGCTAAATTTTCCGAGCCCTGAGTTCATGTTTAAAAAATTGACGATTAATTATAAAATTTTATGTAATATAAACTATATATTGGCAATTAAAGCTTACATGCATACTAGTTAAAATAACTATTACATATTAATTGCATATTAATGTTCGTCCCATTGCGTCGATAAATTCCCAGATAATTCCAAAGTCTACACCTTCATTTTTGCCATCCTATACTGTTAGAAAAATTACCGTTAACGGTATTATACCGGCGTTTCAGTGGCCGGTCAGCACGTGAAAGAAACACCGTGTCGCCGTTTTTATTCTAATTTAACACTAGAAATCCGTAAAACATCTGATAAAAACGGAGAAACAGTTTATTTTCACGGGGCCACCGGCCACTAGAACGCCAGTGGGACCGTTTTTTCACCGTTTTTTCTAACAGTGATATTCAATATTATAATAGGAGCAACTATATTATTAATTTGCAGGTTCATATGAAACAGGATTGGTTATTCTCATTAAGTTATATTATGTTATTTTAAATGGCATAAAACGTCAAGCTATTTTGCATTATCGGTAAATTTGTAGTATCTGATTTACGGTAATGTTACTTTTCAGCATATTATTGTGTCGCCTGCTTGCAATGCTGATGTAGTCATTATGCTGCATCGTGAAAAATGTATAGAATTTTTTATGATATTCCCTTTCACATATTAAATGACGCTACAAATTTGAATTGAGAATTGAGAATTTAATTGATTCAAATTCTCTTACATTTGGCAAATAAGAATGAGACATTTGCATAAATTTGGGTAGTGGCAGCTCCCACAGTTGTTTTCTCAGTTTCTCTAGTGGGCGGGGCTTGATAGGCGTCGAAGGTGGTGCATCAGCATGGTCGTTGGCTTAGCCCTAAAAGAACTCCGGTTAGCTTTTTCATAACCTTTAGGTATTATGTTTCTCACCTTACATTCGGTAAATTTAATAAATTATTTGTCCAAGTATTGATTCACTTTAAGGAAGAAGTACTGATACGCCCTTGCAGTTGGTCAGGACTGAAAGTGATTAAATATTTTTAAAAAGTCTTACTAATTTCAATGTGTGCACATTGTACAGCTGAGGTTTAAATGAAATTTGAAAGCTTGCATTCAATGTTAGTTAATGTGTATTGTTATATAAAAGAAGGATAGCTTGTGTCATAACCTTTACCACACTGTTAGAAAAATTACCGTTAACGGTATTACCGGCGTTTCAGTGGCACGTCGGCACGTGAAAAGAAACGCCGTGTCGCCGTTTTTATTCTAATTTAACACGAGAAATCCGTAAAACATCTGATAAAAACGGCGAAACAGTTTATTTTCACGGTGCGACCGGCCACTAGAACGCCGGTGGGACCGTTTATTCACCGTTTTTTCTAACAGTACAGCAGGCAGTCTAACTTAAGCCTTACTTTGGAACATTGAACTTATTGATGTGTCAGTACGAATCAATTACACTTTTTCAACGTAAACATTGAATATTTTTTGAACAGCGTATTATTTACAACATCATGGCAACATCTTACAACATTAAAAATTTGGAAAGTTGTGAAGAAAATTTTTAGATTTGAATCCTTGTGATATGCGTGTCAAGAGTGCCCCATATTGTGTCTTTGAAGTAGCGAGAAAATTTTCTATATAATTGCTATCAAAATATTAATAATATCATATTTAATCGATGAAAATTCGTTGATATATGAATTATTGTATTATAAATATTCGTATAAAAATACTCATATCGTGGTCTTCAGATTATTAAACAGGTTCAAGTTATTCAAATTATATTTATTTTCTACAGAAATTTGTTACTGTGTCGTTTAAAAATTTTTTTAACGTTCACTTTCAAGCGGTATCGATGCAGTACAATCCCTGTAGATTTTCTTCCATTAACATAAATCTGTTTTTATTTTATCAAAATAACCAACGACATCTTTCGTTAGTGTAATGTTTTTCGATATTCATTTGCATTAGTTGAATAAAACGTTTATCCGATTTAACACATTGTTTTTATACCACGAAATCCTAAACTAAATAGTTATATGCAATGATCATACGAATATCTCGAAATTAATTGGAATTGTTTTCGATCATAACTTTTCAAATGAAGTTCCAAATTGAATTTGTTTTCAACAGTATTTTGTTAATGATTTGCTGTTTTCCATGACATAGATAAATATATATGACGTTCATATGGGCTATTTTCCATGACATAGATAAATATATATGACGTTCATATATGCTCTTTTGAATGACATATGTAAATATAAATATGGCGTTCATATTTGCTCTTATCCATTACATAGATAAATGAATATGACGTTCATATTTACTCTTTTCCATGACATAGATAAATAAATATGGCGTTCATATTTACTCTTTTCCATGACATAGATAAATATATATGACGTTCATATTTACTCTTTTCCATGACATAGATAAATATATATGAAGTTCATATATGCTCTTTTCCATGATAAAGATAAATGAATATGACGTTCATATTTTCTCTTTCCATCATTCTAGTAGATGAAGTTCATTCCACCAGTTACTCAGTTCAAAAACCTACTAACTTAAACGCATAACCTAGTAAAATATTTACTAATTCCAACCTAAATGACTGATTTTAAATAAACTAAAAATTTCTATGTTTATTTCTTGGTGATCTTCACTGAAGAAATCAAACGATATTTGTAATAAAATTATTATAAGCGTTGCTGCTATTATTAATAATTTGATCATTAAAAAATGACTTGCTAATTCACTGCCAATTTAAATATCGCGACGAATACTCGAACAAGAAATTCATGAAATTCAAATGAAAATTTTGGTAATGGGCCATAATATTAAAAATATTTGGTGTTCATCAATTAAACTGTGGATGAAATCATAATTTTGAAAATGGTGCGATGTAGATTCGTATGAAATACTTTAATAATTATAACACAAATAATTATCAATAATTTCTAGATTAAATTTGAATTTTGAATGGTTTAATAAAATCTCAATCGCATTTAAAGTAAAATTCAACGTACAAGTCAATTCTTTCTTCCAAGGCTGCTGGCAAGCTCATTTAAGCACAAACGGATCTTTCTTAACGATCACAGTAGTTATTTATAACTATCCTGAATGTACTGTTAACAGCAGCAGGTATATTTAACTGAAAGTACGTCGCGCTCTAAACGAAAACTTCGCTCACAAGATCGTTAGCCGCGCACCCTCGCCTTTCGCGGTTTTCCGCTTCACATTTCCCACTTTCGGTGTAAACATTTTCCCTTTTTTCAGTCGCGGTTTCCCGCTTCACATTTCCCACTTTCAGTGTAAACATTTTCCCTTTTTTTTCAGTCGCGGTTTCCCGCTTCACGTTTCCCACTTTCGGTGTAAACATTTTCCCTTTTTTTCAGTCGCGGTTTCCCGCTTCGTTTCCCACTTTCGGTGTAAACATTTTCCCTTTTTTCAGTCGCGGTTTCCCGCTTCACGTTTCCCACTTTCGGTGTAAACATTTTCCCTTTTTTTCAGAAGATCACAGACGGAAACGGGAAATTCCTGTTGCCTTCTCGGCAGTGCCGACCTGGCGTTTGTAGAGTGAGGGTGTGTAGCTCGTGAACCTCTGTGTGTAGGAAGAGTGTGGCCAGCCTCAAGTAGGCTTGAAAATAGACCGGGTATATTTTTTTCTTTTGAACATTTGAGTTTTGGTATTTTTTGTGCCAAACAAAAATAAACTTAACAATTGAGGATAAAGTGAGTAACTTTAATTATATTATTTTCAGTGAATGTTCTTCGAAATATTTCTTCACAGTTTGAAATATTTCAAATTAGGAGGCTGTTGAAATGAACGTACCGTATCGAATGTCTTATACGCATGTCTTACTTGCGCTATATGAAATCAGGTAAAATATTCAATCTGAAACACTTATTTTTTCCGAGCTTTATTCGGGTACACCTTTAATAAGTTGAATAATATTTAATTCTGACCCGTTTCATGATATTATTTGCTATACTTAAAATGACAGTGAAGGAACATTAGTGCCTTATTAGCACATTAGCTCAGTGGGCAGTTGAAAATTTATGTTGATTCAGGTATTCAAAACTACAAATATTATTTAACAATCTAATTAAGATGATCATTTTTCTCGGTCGTACTGAATGGACGCACGTAATTAGATGCAGTTACAGATGTTGTTTAATTACTGCCAGATTTTCTATAGCGGAACCTAACTTTATCTTTTGCGTGAATATTCTAAAACGTACAGATGCATTCGTCTAATTATTGCTAAAAGTGTTAAAGTTACTTTTTTCAAATTTAATAAAAAGTTAGATTTATTTACTACCAGATTCTCTTAATAAATAGTCATATATACTGTAATGGAAAATATTTTAAAAAATTCAATCGCTTCTTCCTTATTACCGTATAGAAAAATAACCAAATAACCTAATAAATCTGAAATTCCACTGCATCGAATTTTTGAAAAATAGCTCAGCTAATTAAAATTTAGTGAATAACCAAATAACCTAATAAAACTGAACTAGCACCGCATCCATTTTTTTAAGAATTAGCTCAGCTAATTAAATTTTAGATAGAAATTTTTGCAATGTCGGGTGACCAAGGGCAAGTGCTGGTAGAAAGTTCTCCTGGAAGCCAAGGCATAGATTCCTACGCCTGGAATGCTGGGAGTCTGAACAGCAATCCTACATTCCTGACGCTCAGAAGGAGTCCTGCTGACAAGAAGGATACAAGTGGGGATAAGAAGAAAGAGGTTCCTAAGAAACATACGGAGGATGAACGTATGAAGGTACTTTACTTATGGTACTTTACTTTATCACTAATCAATGAAAATATTGATTAGCGATAGCTAATCAACCATGT